GAAGGGGGGAAAAAAAAAAAAAGACAGGAAGAGTTCAGTAACCATGGTTTCCAAAGCAGCACAGAAATGGGTGGGGAGGGGCAATTAACATTTCATTGAGGCTCTGCTAAATACTTCCAGTTCAATTGGCCCTCACTGATCCTCAGTCCTGTAAGAGTGGTTTTATTCCCTAAAAAAGCAGCATTATCTCCATTTTACAGATGAGAAAATTACGATGCAGAGAGTTTAATACTGTGCCTGTGATGATGCAGCTAAAACAGGTGAGTTGGGATTCTAATCAGGATCTGCATGACTCCACTACACAACCCTCTTCAATATATGTGTGGGCGTGTCTACCATGTGCCGATGCCAGGGACTGTCCTAACTGCATGTCAAATCTGATAGATTTCTACTGTAGAAGGGTTGGATTAGTGCTCTTTCAGAGGTTTCAAGTGCAGGAATCAAGGAGATGCAGAAGAATCTTGTTCTTTTTGCACCCCAGTTCCTAGACCCAATTTGAGAGCCACAGCGTTGTAAGAAATCCCAGAGACCTTATAGTCCAACCTTTCAGCCAATGTTGGAATTTTGGAATCTGTCTATATTCCTGCATGTGGTGGGAGCTCACATCCCAAATGACCCACACAGAAAGTCCTTTACTTTCTTTTGGCGCTGAGGACTTATGTATCTACATCCAAGACTCTTGTGAAGCTTGGAAGGGTCAAAGGTTGATCCACACTAAGTCCTGATGGGGAAGAAAGTAGGCTGCATTGTTCTCCGGAGCTATCCCTCAAGTGCCTGCTGGAGGAGGCTAGAGCCTATTTTAAGGAGTTAAACCAAGCATGTCAAACTCAAAGGCTGACATGGGCCAAATAAATAAGGTTTAAGTTTATGTGGCTGGAAAAAAAAAAAAAAAAAAAAAAAAAAAAAAGCTTCAATTTTCATAGAAATGTAGGTTTATTTCAATAGACATACTGAGCCGAAACTGGTTTGGCTCAGTGGATAGAGCGTCGGCTTGGGGACTGAAGGGACCCGGGTTCGATTCCGGTCAAGGGCATGTACCTTGGTTGCGGGCATATCCCCAGTAGGGGGTGTGCAAGAGGCAGCTGATCGATGACTCTCTCTCATCGATGTTTCTGTCTATCTCTCTCCCTTCCTCTCTGTACAAAAATCAATAAAATATATTTAAATAAATAAATAAATAAATAAATAGACGTACTGAAAACAAAAGGCTGAAATAAATGAGTAACCATTAACATAAAATAATAGGACATTTTAATAAAAATTAATATTTTTTCTTGAATATTAACTTACCAGACATTGAATAACTGCACAGATTAATAAGCAAATAAACCTATTTTTCTTGTTCTCCAAAAGTGAAATATTTCCAAACAACTCAGTACAAGACTAATGACATGTCAACCGGCTGCTAAAATATTCGCTGCTAGTATCAGTGAGGAAAATGGTGCGCCTGCACATAAGGTGTGTAAGGGAAATGAGTGCAACACAATTATAGCAATCAGTCATTAGCGAACGTTGTAGTTCGTTATTAATAATTATGTATAACAGGATATTGTAAACAGTAAGTTATGAAACTTTTATTAAAACGTTTCTTACATACAGTGCTCTGGGTAATAGCTCCAAAGCACAAATGGGAGAAAACGCTTCCGCAGTTCCCTCACTGCTCTTAGGACCAAGTCCACACTCCTCAAAAAGGTGTCTGGTCCTTGCTTACCTTTCTCACTTCATTTCTTACCCCTTTCTCCCTCTTCACAGCACATGGACTAATCTTAAATTCCTCCAAAATACTGGGCTCTCCTTGCTTCCTGGCTTTTGAGCCTGCTATTCCCTCTACTGGCATACATTCCTTTCTCCATCAAGCTAAGTCCTACTGGAGATTCAATTTTGGGCTTAAATGCCACCTCCTTTAGGAGACCGCCCTTCCCTGGAGACTGAGTGTAGGTATCCCGGCTGTGCTGTCCTAGTACCTTACACTTACTCCCATTTAATACTTAATACGCTGTCTGTGCAATTTATATATCTGTATCCCTTTTCCATGTGGAACAATTATTATACCAAAACACCATATCAGGCACTTTACATGGATTATCTCATTACAACCCCCTTTTAAAATATATTTTATTGATTTTTCACAAAGAGGAAGAGGGAGGGATAGAAAGTTAGAAATATCGATGAGAGAGAATCATCCATCAGCTGCCTCTTGCACAGCCCCACTGGGGATGTTCCCGCAACCAAGGTGCATGCCCTTGCCTGGAATCGAACCCGGGACCTTTCAGTCCGCAGGCCGACGCTCTATCCAATGAGCCAAACCGGTCCCGGCTACAACCCCTTTTAAAAAAAGGGCAACGGCCGAAACCGGTTTGGCTCAGTGGTAGAGCATCGGTCTGCTGACTGAAAGGTCCCAGGTTCGATTCCGGTCAAGGGCATGTACATTGGTTGCGGGCACATCCCTGGTAGGGGGTGTGCAAGAGGCAGCTGGTCAATGTTTCTCTGTCATCGACGTTTCTAACTCTCTATCTCTCTCCCTTTCTCCTCTCTGTAAAATATCAATAAAATATATTTTTAAAAAATAATTTAAAAAAAAAAAAAAAGGGAAACGAAGTCTCAGAGTTTTCCAAGAACTTTCTGCAAGGAACAGGCAGAGCAAGGATTTGAAGCCAAATCTCTCTGGCCTCATAGAGACCCAGTTCTAAGCACTGAAACCCATCACGCTGGCTCCTCCACAGGGCCAAAGGTTACTTGAGTTTTATTACTCCAACACATAGTCATGCTTAGGACCCGGGGCTAAAGGAAGTGAAGATCAGTTTTGACTCCTAATAATAAGCTGGCTCCTCTAGAGAAGTGGCACTATGCTTTTGGATGCTTTAAAACAACCCATTTCCTTTCCTGGGATACCATGGACCAGGAGCTGAAGGGTTAGACAGGGGTATGATGGGGAAACAAAAGCACTTTTTCTATTCCAGACATTTCTCTGTACTCCTTTACAATATTTCACTGAGCATGGGCCCAGGCAGCAGGACATGGCAACAACCATCGAAGCAGTAAGAACTATGCCACCATGCACTGGCCCACACTATGCATTAGCAATGTGCCATGCTTCCTATAGGTTTTATCGTACTTCATCCTCTTGTGAAATATCAGTCCTCTCTTTTTACAAGCAGGAAACGGAGGCTCCAAGCCCTTAAATAAATTTGTCTAAGGGCATATAACTATTAAGTAGTAGTAGTTAGAATTCTAGCTTCATTCTGTCCAACCTGGAAGTTCAGGCACTTAAATTCTATGTCACTTCTTCTAGGTTGAACACAAATTACCTCCAAAAGCTTATTAAAATATAAGGCACTTCCTAGTTACACAACAGGTCTATGATGGAACCCCAAGCTCCTAGGCGATTCTGATGCAGACCATCCACTGAAAAACAATGCACCATGACAATGTTTACCCAAACCAGGTTTCTCAGGAATACTAGTATTAAAAAAAAAAAAAAAAAAAAAAAAATGACTACACATTAAAAGAGTGTGGGGGATAGGGGGAAGCGGCGGTGTCCCATGGTTAAGTAAGCTTAAGAAATACTGAGATGCCCTGTGGTGAAACTGTTCGGCTCTATTTAACAGAGTATTCTGCAAACTTATTCAACCACAGAATCTTCCTCCATTAGCAATACCTATCAACATTTCACAAGACTCAGAAAATAGAATGGAGCTTGGGAAACACTGCTAGGTTAAAGTACTTCCTCTCCCTTTCCCACCTCGGCTAAGTATGCAATGAAAGGAGTTTAAGATCTAGCCCTGGCCTCATCCCCTCCCTTGCTCTGTATGACCTTGGACAAGCCACTTAACCTCTTTGGGCTGGTTCCTCGGCTATAATACTCCCTGCTAGCACGCCTACCAGGTTTTTATGACTGAGATAATGGAGATCCAAATCCTGTGTGCAAAACCTGTACGGGCTGCACTCCCATCTTTTGGCATGTTAACTATACTCAACTGAACACTTTGTAATACCCCATATGACCCAGTTTAACAATTTTCTCCTGCATGGGTTTTATCTCCTAAATGAGTGTGATCTTGGGTAACTTGGGAGCCCTCTTTAAAATGAAGCCCTCTTTTGAGGGCCCTCCCAGCACTGACCTTCTAGGCGTCTAGTAAAAATCAAAATACAAAAAGGTAACACCTGTTACACTCTTAGAGGTACCGAATGGCTTATACGCATCGCTTCATTACTCTTCAGAATAGCTCTACCAGAATGAGATTAGACCCTATCTCTTGGCCCTATTTTACAGAGTTGGAAACTTCGGATCCGAAAGGCAACACACCTCGTTGTGGGGGGAAGCTTCTCGACTCCAAACTGTACTTAACCTCTCAACCATTCTACCATCCGACAAAGGGGTGTGGCCACAGAATCGCCCTGCTGGGCGTTCGTGGCTGGATCAAGAAGGGCTGCCAAGTGGAGAAGCAGCATTTGCTGAGAGCTCCAGGGTTCGCTGCCTACGTGCCTGGTGACTTCAGGGAAGTTTGTGTCTCCTCTGCGTTTCATTTTTTCCTGGGCCTGAAATGGAGGTGTTGGGCCAAGTAGTCCAACGAGCTCACTTGTGGAGTCAACTAAAACCAAAGATTCTCCTGATTGATTATTCGGATGCAATACGACGGGGGTGTGCTGTTATCCGGCGCCCCAAACCATACCCACGGACCAGTGCTCTCAGCGCGGTGTTGGCGTCCATGACCCAGCCCCGGCACCCGCCCTGCGGGAGCTTCGGGGAAGCGTGGGGCCCGGGCGGGGGTGAGGAGTGTGTGGGGGGTGGGGTCCCAGGTCTCCAAAGCCTCGGGTGCGCGACGTGCAGTTCTGCGTAACGTGAGACCGGCGCAACCGACCATGGCTTTTCCCTTCTCGTCCACGCGAGACCTCGCCCAAGCCAACCTCAGCATGGGAAGGGCACAGAGAAACTGGAGAGAAAGCAAAGCTGGGGTTTTAGGCCCCTGCCTGGATTCACCCGCCGTTCACAAACTCACCTGCCCATAGGGATAACCTGCCATGTCGACTCTGACGTAACAAATCGGAGAGGAGTCGGACTTCCGGGTCTCAAGCCGCTCCCTAAGGACATACCGACTTTTGATTGGATGGTGCGCCTGTCAATCCTGCGCGCAGGGGTTGACGGAAGTGGCGCCACTGGGCGGTGGGCGGATGCCTCCCAGAGAGGCGGGAGGAGTTAAAGGTCGGATGGGAGTTTCCGGAACTTTGTTCGATCGCCGTTGTGGCGTTGTTCCTCTCTTTCTTGCGGTAGAGTAGGCTCCAGGGTCGTCAGACCAGGGTATTTAGTGAGAAGCTTAAGTTAGGTGTTACGGCGGTGGCCATATTTTAACCTGGCAAACTGGAACCATCACAGTAACTAGTTCCTGTGTCACTCCCAAGTTTCCGCCCGAGGTGTGGTCAGGCGGTTACCATGACAACGGGGAACAGCTGCCTCTTGGGAAGGATAAAGGCAATGGCCTCAGTACTTCGCTCTAATGTCAAGACGCCACGAGTCCATTAGTAGCACTGGAGTGGTCTTTGTGGAGAGGAAAATTAGATGAATAGTCTGTTCTTTCATAAGTGGGGAAACAGGTGTGAAGAGGCAGTGAGTTAGGGGCAGAGTATGGCCTAGAACTGGGGTCAGTGTGTCAACAGATGATCATTGGCTCCAATGCAACACCAACAAGAATCCCCAGTTTGGGGTGCAGTGAAGAAGGAAACTTTATTTATGCAAAACAGCTGAATTGCAATACAGCATGACTGTGAAAACTGTGGAGCTATAGAATGGTCCTGGGGCTAGGCCCTCTGGCTAGAAGACTCTCTTCTCCTTGACTCCAGACACCCCAATTGACTCAGGCTAGTGGGTATTCTAGCTCAGCCAGGGAAAGTTTCACATCCTTCATTTCTTTTTTTTTCTTCTTTTTTTTAATATATTTTATTGATTTTTAACAGAGAGAAAGGGAGAGAGATAGAGAGCCAGAAACGTCGATGAGAAACATCGACCAGCTGCTTCTTGCACACCCTCTACTGGGGATGTGCTGGCAACCAAGGTACATGCCTTTGACCGGAATTGAACCTGGGACCCTTCAGTCTGCTCTACCACTGAGCCAAACCGGCTTCGGCCACATCCTTCATTTCTTTTAAAAATATATATTTTATTGATTTTTTACAGAGAGGAAGGGAGAGGGACAGAGTTAGAAACATCGACAAGAGAGAGAGAGAGAAAGAGAGAGAGAGGAAGAGATATCAGCTGCCTCCTGCACACGCCCCACGGCATGTGCCTGCAACCAAGGTACATGCTCCTTGACAGAAATCAAACCTTCGACCTGTAAGTCCAAAGGCCGATGCTCTACCCACTGAGCCAAACAGATCAGGGCTCACATTCTTCATTTCTGAGGAGAGAAACTGAGCTCCTAGAGCCAGAGGGGAGCTGGCTTATATAGACAGAAGTCCCTGCCTCTGGTTCCTGATTGGACCAGCCTCATGCAAATGAGGGCTCCAAATTCTCACGTTTGATTGATCTAAAAGGCACTGTCCTGATTGATTAGAATGGAGTTACTCTGATTCAGTGGAGCCACACAGCTCTGGATGGATGAGGAAACCCTCAATCCCTTTGGTTGAAATAGGATTCTAGGAAACCTTTTATGAGGCCTGGCTTTCTAACTGTATGACCTTGGGATGGCAGACAGTTCAGTGCAGGCCTCTCTCTGAAGTGCAGTTTGCGTAAGAGGCCCCTGTGCAGAAATGGCTGCTCGGCTCTGCTTTTTAAAATGAGTCCGTTAGCCTCCGGGAGCCCTTCTTAGTAAGTGTCTTTTTTTCTTTTTTAATAGAGTTCACAAATGGATGCCTAATTCTCAGCAGGGAGGTTTTGACTGGTTCCTAAAGCAGGTCAAATCCTGGTTACAAAGTGACTTTATTGTCCTATACTTACCACTTGGTGGTTCAGGCTCTACACTTGTTAGCACACTTATCTGAATTTAATTTGTTAAATTCTTCCATATGGGCACAGATTGTGTCTGGATTTGCTTGTCATTATATCCCCAGTACCTCACACAGTGCCTGACACTATAATAATAAAAAAAAAAAAGTAAGTGAATCTATTCTGAGGTCTTATTCATTCCAGCCCATCTATCTTTCCAGGCACTTACTTACTTACTTTCTTTTTTAATATATTTTATTGATTTTTTTACAGAGAGGAAGGGAGAGAGATAGAGAGGTAGAAACGTCGATGAGAGAGAAACATCGACCAGCTGCCTCTTGCACACCCCCTACCAGGAATGTGCCCGCAACCAACATACATGTCCTTGACCGGAATCGAACCTGGGACCTTTCAGTCCGCAGACCGACGCTCCATCGCTGAGCCAAACTGGTTTCGGCTATCCAGGCACTTTCTAAAATCACAGAGGTAGAAAAAGTAAGTCCTAGAAGAAAGGGGCTTAGGAAACAAGTTATAGACATAAAGGAAGAGCTTTTATTGTATGTCTATAAAAGCTTGGGAGTCAGGAAGGTAATGATAATGTATCTGGAATGGGGGAGTGGAGGGCAGGGAGAGGGCAAGGGAAGAGAAAGGGATCAGCGCACTCCAGGGAGGGAGAGCACCAGGTTGTCCTTTTCTTATTCCTCCTCTATCCCCAGTGCCTTGAACAGTTAGTTCCTGGCATAAATTCAATAAATATTAGCAGTTTTTATTCTGCATGGAATGCTTACTAGGTACCAGGCATTGTGCTAAGTACAAGGTGGTGTTTCATTTTCACCATAATCCTTTGAGAAGATACTGTTGCCCATTTATAATGAGGAGCTGAGGCTGAGAACGGCTAAGCGACTTCTCTACTACCAAAAAGATAAATGGAGGAGTCAGGATTTGAACCGAGGTCCACAATCTTTTAACTGCTCAACTGCTCAGTGCTTAGTGTTTAGTAGGTCTTGTCTTCTTTACCTTTGTAAAACTGCCCGCCCCGCCCCCCTGACCCCCCCCCTCCCCCCGCCATTCCCTGTCCCTGAATCAAAAAAATAGGTGGAACCAAATGGCAAAATCTCAGGAAGGGAGAAGTCCTGCAGTCCGGGCCGAAGGTCAAGGGACCTTTGTCGGCAGACAGAAGTGCGGCATGTGGCCTGCAAAGGCCTGCAAAAGGGATAAGGTGGCACGCACTCATTTTATTGCACAAACATATCAACCCACTGGGTTCCCACCCCTTGCCAGGCTCTGCCTCGGTGCTGAAATGAAACTCCTATGAGAACTTCACGTCCCAGCTTCCTCTGCCCAGCAAAGGGCTCTTAGGAGAACGGCCAGCTGGATGACTCCTGTTTGGGGGGCAAGGCATCCAAGTCATCTCCTGAGCTGTCAGAAACCAGCCAGAGCCAAGTCCAGGGCTCTGCCTCTGAGGACCTGCGCGGGCCCAGGTATGTTTATGTTGGAGAGGGCCAGGTGAAAGGCAGATCCAGGCCTTCCAGAGACCGAAAAACAATCAGCTCAGTTCCAGAACCTCAACTACCTGAGGCAGACGGAGGTGGGCGGGGAGGCTCCTGCTATTGTTTCAGCTCCTGCCAAAGAGGAACACTTGGATTCCAGCCCTTTTCAGAGGTCAGAGCAGTTTCCTGAGTTCCTGGAAGCCCTGCGGTTGGCCCATTGGAGGTTAGGCAGGGCTTGGTGCCGGAAGGCCCATCCATCCACTGGAAAATGTCTCCTCCCCTAGAGACATCACTCCCCACAGGCATCCCGGCTCAGCGCCAAGCCCCAGGATTGCTGAAGAGAAGGCAGCCTGACACTCACCTAATTATTATGGAATTAATTCTCTTTGATTCCAACCAGAGCCAGTCTGAAATTTAAATTTCAAATAGATGCTGCAGATGAGAGGGTGATGTGCAGCTTTCCACAGATCCAACAGAAAAATGGGAACAGCAGACATGGCAATCTGGCCACACTCCCCTTTCATTATGGAATTCGATAACAGAATGTATCGATGCACACACTCCATTCTCGTAAACTATTCAGGGCAACGACAGAAAGATCTGGTCGGGGAAGAGGCTAACAGACCAAATGTGAAGAGTCTCAATAGACTGTTGATGGGCAAATATGACCAAAAGGAAGATTTAAATTCCAGAAGGCATCACGTTTTGGGATTTTCCTCTGCAGAATAAACATGCAGCAGCCTTTCTTGGTCTTACAGAGCAGAGGGTTTCTCAGTCCATTGCAGTCAGTGAACTCTACCTTAGGCTAGAGTTCTGACTCTTCACCCTGTCACAGAACACCCTTGTTTCCCACGATCTCCCTGCTCACGGTCCACATTCCACTCACACCCTGCACTGTCTCTCTCCACTCAGCGTCCTGGACTCCATCATCTCCGGACCTTGGCACGTGTGGTCTCCTCTGCCTACATCCATCTCTGTCTAGACACACTTAGGTCCCTCGGCTCCGAGCTCCCCCAGTGCCTGGTACTGCCCCAGCATCCCACTCTGTTGTAATTGCTTGTTTCACTGTCTGCTCTCCCCATAGACATTGCGGGGGCAGCGACCACATCTGCCTCTGAATCCCCAGACACTTCCTGGCACGAAATAGAAAGAGGAAATGGACTCATCAGGTTAGGCTTTGCCAATCTGAAGGATCTGCGTGTTGCCTTAAAAGCCCGGAATATCCTAAGACATGAAGATGGGAAGACCAGCGGAGGGGATGTGAGAAAGCTGCCTCAAAGGCGTGGAAGGCATGTGCCCCTCCTTCCTTTCTCTTCCGCTTACCCGGTTCCAGAACTTAACGAGCAAAATCCACGGGCTGTTTTTTTGCTGACCGCGGTAACAGAAGAGACTATAAATTCTGCCTTCCATCTGGCTCTTCATGGTCCAAGAAAATACAGCAATTTCAAACTCCAGGGAGATGAGCACTCAAATCATGAAAGCGTAAACCCAACCGTCATGGAATTTGACTCAAGAACCAAAGTGAAGAAAGCATCACTTATTCTGTCAGGATCGATGCCCGGGTGGCCCTCCGAGGGGCTGAGCTTGATATTTTCTCTGGTCTTCAAAGCCGTCC